GATGGACTATGGGTCAAACCATCAATTACTCATATGCAAGTTCAAATAAGAGTCCAAAGAAGAGAAAATTAAGTCCACAAGAACCAAGATACGATCTTCATTCAATTCCATCTGACTTTTAGTATCATCTTAGGAATAGGTTTGAGGCATTGAACATCAATGATCAAAGACCAAATGAGTTGTGGGATGATACCAAGGATATCATCCATGAAGAAAGCAAAAGGTCATTACAAAAACAGAGGAGAAGGGAAAAAAAAAATTGATGTCAGTAGAGTTCTTAAAAATTGCACTGTAGTGTTGAGAAGCCAAAACAGAAGGAAAACATACTAAAGTAAAAGAGCTGAACAGATTTCAAAGGGCAGCTCAGGAGGACAAAACAAATTATTATAATGGAATGTGCAGAGAACTGGAATTGGAGAATAAAAAGGGAAGAACTCACTCTGTATTTCTCAAGCTGAGAGAACTGAAAAATAAATTTAAGCCTCATGTCACAATATTGAAAGATGCTAGAGGCAGTATATTGAATAATCCAGAAAGCATCAAAAGTAGATGAAGAAAATATACAGAATCACTGTATCAGAAAGAACTGATTGACACTGAACAATCTCAGAAAGTACCATAAGAACAGGAGCCAATGGTAGTGAAAGGAAAGTGGAGGAAGTGAAAGCTGCATTGAAGACATTGGCAAAAAACAAGGCCCCAGGAATCTATGGGATACCAATTGACTTGTTTCAGTTAACAGATGCAGCCTTGGATGCATTCACCAGTCTATGCCAAGAAATTTGGAGGGCAGCTGTCTGGCCAACAGATTGGAAGAGGTCCATATTTGTTCCCATTCCCAAGAAAGGTGACCCAACTTAATGGGGAAAGTATCAAACAATATCATTCATATCACATGCAAGGAAAATAATGCTTCAGATCATTAAAAAAAATAATGAGAACAGTAAGTGCATACATAGGGAACTGCCAGAAGTTCAGAAGGATTTATAAGAGGCCATGGCACCAGAGCTATCATTGCTGATGTCAGATGGATCCTTGCTCAAAGTAAAAAATACCAGAAGAATGTCTGTTTGTGTTTTATTGACTATGCAAAGGCATTTGACTGAGAGGGTCATAACAAGTTGTGGCTAACGTTGAGAAGAATGGGTATCCCAGACACTTAATTGTGCTCATGTGGAACCTATACCAGGACCAGGAGGCTAGTGTGTGAATAGAGCACAGGAGCATGGCGTGGTTTAAAATTGAGAAGGGAATGCGTCAGAGAGTATATTCTCCCTCCATACCTATTTAATCTGTATGCTTAGCAAATTATCTGAGAAACAGGACTCTATGGAAAGGAAGGTGGTCTCAGGATTCAAGCATGATGTTCTTTCCACAGCAAGCAAGATGATACAATCTTGCTTGCTGATAGTGAGGAGGAGTTGAATCACTTGTTGTAGAGGATCAAAGAATGCAGCCTTTGATATGGATGGCATCTCAATGTCAAGAAAACAAAGACTCATAGCACTGGACCAATAGGCAACATCATGTTGGATGGAGAGGATGGCGCTGTCAACAGCTTCATCTTGCTTGGATCACAACTAACATTCTTAGTAGTAGCAGTCAGGAAATAAGGAGACACACTGCACTGGGAAAATCTGCAGTCAGGGACCTCTCCAAATTATTGAGGACTAATGATGTCAGTTTGGGGACTAACACATGTCTGATTCAGGCCGCAGACTTTCTGATCACTTGCTATGCATCTGAGAGCTGGACAATGAATAAGCATGACAGAAGAAGAATTGATATTTCTGAGCTGCGGTGTTGAAGAAGAGCACTGAACATCCTATGGACGGCCAAGAGAACTAACAGATTTGTCTTAGAGAGGGTGCAGCTGGAATGCTCTTTGGAGGAAAGAATGATGAGGCTTTGGATCACATACTTTGGGGAGGTTGCTAGGAGGGGCTATTCCATGGAGAGGGACATGATGTTGGGAAGGGTGGAGGGTCTGTGAAGAAGAGGGAGACCCTCAACCAGGCGGATTGACACGGTAAATATCACTGAGCTTGAGTGTGTCAGATTGTGAGGATGGCACAGGATAAGACAAGGTTCAGATTGTTATGTGTTGTACTCAACTTGGTGGTACCTAACAACAACAATAGGAGTTGGGTGGGAAGGAAAACGAACGATAAAATCAGAGGGAAAAATTTTTAACAAAGGTTTATCATTTCATAAACTTGATGGAAGAACACCATGAGTGAGAATCTATTCAACAGCAGTGCAATTTAGAAGCTATAAGGAAAAATGAATGAACTACTGCTGCTGCTGCTGTACAAACTATTTATCAACAGGTATTCTGATGTCAGCCTCTCTGATGGGGTTGCCCGATGTTGTTCATAACCCCTGTGATGCCATGAATGTCAGCTCTCTCTAAAACGGACATTCATCAGAGAGATTTACTGTAATTTTTCAAAGTGAGAGCTATATAGTGCAACCGTCTAGAAATCATGAATACAGCAGCTTTAAAGAGCCAGTTTCATAAACAACCAAATAAACTCTCATAGATAATGCATGTGTTTTCTATGACAGTTAATCGATTTCAAATGGATCATTTCCTTACTCGTAAAGAAGTGAAAATTTGGACTTAAATACCTTTGAAGTTCAAATAGGAATCTATTGCTAGATTTTGCAATAACTCATGGATATATTTTTTAGGTTGTGGTGCCATAGATTGACTTCAACTCATAGCAGCCCTACAAACAATAGCTCTGAACCCTGCTCTATCTTGAGCCAATCTCATTGTCTCCAACATACCTGCTCCTTTTTTCCCTAGTTGCTGTGTCAATCCATCTCATCCAGGGTCTTTCTCTCCTGCGCTGACTCTCCACCCTTTGAAGCATGATGTCCTTTCCACAGGAACCAAAATTAGACCTTGAGTCTATCCCACCTGAATTTCAAAATTACCTAAGGAAGAGCTTTGAGACTTTGAGCTCTAATGAGCGAAGACCAGATGAGCTGGGGGAGGATTTAAGGAATATCATCCATGAAGAATGTAAAAGGTCATTACAAAGACAGAGGAGGAAGAGAAGACCAAGGGGGATGTCAGATGAGATTCTGAGTATTCCTCTAGAGCACAGAGAAGCCAAAGCAAAGGGAAGAAATCAAGAAATTAATGAGCTGAACAGAAGATTTCAAAGGGTAGTGCGGGAAGACAAAGCAAAGTACTATGAAGTGTACAAAGAGCTGGAATCAGAAAATCAAAAGGGCCAAACTCACTCAGCATTTCTTAAGCTGAAGGAACTGAAGAAAGGACAAATTAAAGCCTTGAGTTGCAATACAGGACAGAATAGTAAATGACCCAGGAAACATTAAAAGAAGATGGAAGGCATATACAGAGTCATTGTACCAAAAAGAATGGGCTGACACAGAAGAATTTAATGAAACAATGTATTAGCAAGAGCCTGTGGTGATAAAGGAAGAGGTCTGAGCTGCTCTGAAGGAACTGGCAAAGAACATGGCCCCAGGAATTGATGGCATACCAACTGACATAGTTGAACAAACAGATGTTGCCATGGATGCACTCATCAAGTTGTGCCAAGAAATCTGGAGGACAACCCCTGGCTAACTGACTGGAAGAGATCCTTATTTGTTCCCATTCCAGAGAAAGTTGACCTGACAGAGTGCAGAAATTATCAAATAGTGACATTAATATCATGTACAAGAAAGATTTGGCTGAAAATTATAAAAAAAGAACCGACTGAAACAGCACATCAACAGAGAACTGCCAGATGTGCAGGCTGGGTTTAGAAGAGGTTGTGGCACTAGGGATATTATAGCTCATGTTAGATGGATTTTGGCTGAAAGCAGGGAGTACCAAAGGAATGTCTATCTGTGTTTCATTGACTATGCAAAAGCATTTGATTGTGTGGATCACAACACACTGTGGCTGATTCTAAGAAGAATGGGAATCCCAGAACACTTGGTCATGCTAATGTGAAACCTATACTTGGACCAGGAGGAAGTAATCTGAACAAAGCAAGAAAACACTGCATGGTTTAAAACTGGAAGGGTGTATGTCAAGGATGTGTCCTATCTCGGTATCTTTTCACTCTATATGTGGAACTGATCATCCAGGAGGCTGGATTCTGTGAGGAGGAATGTAGTATCAGGATTGAAGGAAGACTCAACAACCTGCATAATGCAGATGGCACAAGCTTGCTTGCAGAAACTGAGGAGGACCTGAAACACTTGCTGCAGAAGGTAAAGGACTGCAGCTTTCAGTATGGGTTGAAGATCAACATCAAGAAAACAGAGGTTCTCACTGCTGGGTCGATTGGCAGCATCATGATAGTTGGTGAAGAGATTGAGATTGTTAAGAGCTTTAGTTTGCTTGGTTCCACAATCAACACTCTTGGTACCAGCAGCCAGGAAATCAAAAGATGAATTGCATTAGAAGTCTGCTGTCAGGGACATCTCCAGAGTACTGAAGAGCAATCATGTCAGTCTGGATACTAAGGTGCACCTGATCCAGGCCATGGTCTTCACAGTTACGTGTTATACATCAGAAAACTGGACAATGACTAGGGATGCCAGAAGGAAAACTGATACCTTTGAGCCATGGACTGCTAGGAGGATAAACAGGCTCATCCTGGAGAGGGTGAAACCAGGGTACTCCTTAGAGGCAAGAATTCTGAAGCTCTGACATACACTGGGCATGTTACAAGGAGGGACCAGTTCTGGGCGAGGACATCATCATGTTTAGGAGGGTGGAGGGGCAGCACAAGAGAGGAAGACCCTCAATGAGATGGATTTACTCAATGAATAGGGTAATAGGGAGAGGTGTTTCAGAGAAATTAAGTTTGGCTCAGGATAGAGCAGACTTCAGGGCTGTTGTACACAGGGTCACTATGAGTCATGGATAACTTGATGGCACACAACAATAACAACATGTAAATTCATACTCTCTGTCCTAACATTGAGCTTGCTTTACATTTTATCTAAAGTCTGTGCTAGCTACCCACCTTGTTTACTTGCACGAGTACCTGGGAGATATAAGGTAAAATTTTCTGAAAGACAAATGTTTTCAAGTTCCAGAATGAAGAATCCAGGTATAAAAGCAGGAGGAGAAAAAATAAGCCCATGGCAGCCAATGTAACCAGGAACTTTGCAATTCCATGTTCTTCAAAACTGTAGAGACTGGAGTTCGCATCTGAGGATAAAAAAGGAAACAGCTTTACTAACACAAAGTATAAAATGACACTAATATTAAAAAAATAGGTTGAAAATGAACTTCATATATAAGACTGAGAAAAATATAAAGAAATATAGAGAATATATAGAAAATACAGGACTTTATGCAGATACCTTATTTTTTCTCTTACTTGATCTGTTTATAGTTCGTCTAAAATTTATCCTGTCATTGATTTCCCCTCTAGTTTTTGGCCAGTTACTGGTATAT